GGCTGGTGGAATGGCATGTCATGTTCACTTCAACTCACAAACTTTATCTGGCGGATTTGGTATACAGAGTAGACGTCTCTCCATTTCATCCCACACGTGCTCAATAAGGGAAATATCCGGTGAATATGCAGGCCAAGGCAGTACTTTGTGCCACTGAAGAAAAGCCAAAGCAACTCTAGGCGTGTGAGGGCGGACGTTATCATGGTCATTTTCAATCTTGAATCATGACGTTGAAGAAACTGTATTGTCACTGGTCCGAAATGCCCTAAACAGCAGCTGTTTTAAAAGGGGTTCCCTGATGAGCACTTATCCCACCCCAGTTCACGTAACCTCCCCGAAGCGATTTCTCTCTGCGACACAGGCTTGAGCATAACGGTCCTCATGAGTGAGTGAGTTTAGTTTTACGCCGCTTTTAGCAATATTTCAGCAATATCATGACAAGACACATCAGAAATGGGCTTCACACTCCACATGAGATAATGGTGCTGACCTACCTCAAAGACTGCGAATCCCATCTGTTGCCATGTACAATCGCGGACCACAAGGCTACCCATCAGCCCCTTTTGGTGTGGACAAACCCAGGAAATATAAAATGGGCGAACCGGGTTCATACAAAACATACATGGCATTGACTTTGTTGTAGCTGTTGCAAAGTCGAATTCATGCCGAGGCCAACAACAGCCAACTGGAAAGATGTCTTATTGACATACGACATGATAGTGTTGATCGACATTGGGAGTGATGGCATAAGATAGTAGGACCTGTAAGTCTCGCGAGACGCTACTTCCGGTACTAAGCTGGTTCCCAACTTGAGATATGTCAGACGGGGCCCAGCTTACTTCCGGTACAAGATTTCCGGTGACAAGCGTATATTCAAGAACCAGTTCTGGGCTGTAACAGCTGTTGACAGTCGTAAATAATTGACTAATTTGAGAATGGTTAGATCGGAAATGTTATATTCCTGCAAGAATTATCGGTTCCTTACTGTCAACTGAGAACCATGAAACTAATCGAAAAGGTATGAACCGTTGTTTGTCTCCGGAAATACTAAGGTCTCACGAAGTGCTCTGACCCTATTCCTGAAGTATATAGGTCACCGTAAGTTTTCAGAAGAATGTAATTCCTGATCATAAGCGCCATGTGCACGAGGTGCTTGAAAACCTGTGTTTGGATATATCGTAACAGAATCGTTGCCCATTATTTTCATAGAAGCATAACACACCATAAACCAGTGAGGATTGTAGCAACTGAACTGTTTAATTCCCCTGAGCGTTAAAGACGTCGTTTGGTGACTGAAGGACGAGGTAGGTGCATGGGCACGCTTAAACTTGGTCAACACAATGCCACGATGCAAATATCTTTGGTGTCCGACAAAGTGTGAGCAGCAGGGCATGGAATCGATACCTGGCGTTTAGGTCAGCTACCCAGTGACATGTGGTCGACAGCGTTGCAACAGACAATGGTAAGACAGGCTCCTCCTGACTGCAGCAAGACGTCATCACTTTGTGACAGCCACCACACTCAGGAATGACAATTGGTACGTTGATGACGTTGATTCAGCTCAAACAGTGCATAATCGTCTCCGTGAGGCTGGTCTCGGTATACATCCGAATCCCATGGATCCAATATCACACGCAGGTACGTCTGGATTGGGCTGAAGATCACGTCAATTGGCCACATCAGGACTGGGTTCCAGGGCTTCGTTTCACAAAGCTATCGTAGCGCTACGACTGACGTAAGTCTATGTTACGGGGCCTAGAGTTTCGAAGCTCTCTTAGCGCTAAGTGTCATACATTAACTTTAACTTACGACCATCTTAGCGCTAAGAGAGCCTCGAAAATATAGGCCCAGGATCGGAGGTACGACAGTCGAAGCGCTACGATAGCTTTGGGAAGCGGGCCCTTTACTTTTCAGGTGACTCGAAATATTGTCTTGCCTTATAGAGTGTCCTGCCCAAGTGTTTCAAGGACAAGGATTCAGGATTCCAACGAAGCCGAACTTGAGGAGGCTCAGTCATGACTTGGGGTTGGATTGGTTCAGATGGAAGAACTGCTCTCCATGTCCCCAAAAGGACAGCCTGTCATTCAGCTGTTCGTACGGACCCACTTCATCCGACCTCCGGTAGCACGGCCTGCCTGCTCTTTCCGAGGGAGAGGGTTAAGGGGGCAGGTTTGGTTATTGCTATGAATCCTTTGCCCAACTTAATTTGACTGTGTATTACAGTCCGTTTTAGTCAGAAACGGACCGATGAATTGCAAATTTTATCATTGTACAAAATTGCCACATAAATATAAATAGTACACACGTTTATCATTTACTAATACCCAACAGTTCACCTGATGAAGGGACAAGGTCTCGAAACGTCGTGAGAGAAATTAAAAAGAAGTTTAATCCAATATCTTGGACATCAATGTACAACTTCTAAATGCCACTGAAAGACAGCTTTGTTATATTTGAAAATTTTCCGGACTCCACCAAAAAAGTTGTTTAAGAAACTATCATCATTGAAAACGCAAAAGTTGTTATCTGTCGCGGCGGGGTGAAACCGCAGAAAGGGAACAGCCAGTCATGGCGGGGACATCTCAAAATCTATTCCGGGAGACCTGTCGGTTCCTCGTCTGTCGTAGTGTCATAGTCACGACTTAAAGGGATGACAAGTGGTGCCACAGTTGCCTGTTGTAAGCCATCCCGAGACCAGTAACCTTGTTCAATGACGTTAGCTACCTTGTTGACACAGTTTTGCCAAGTTTCAGTCGTGATTTTGTTAAGGGATTCCTTAACCAAAACCTCTACGTGACGTAATCTAAAAGTTGTGTTTGATCTGGCAACATCTCCTTTGACAATACCCCATATCATTTCAATGGTAGTCTCTGTTATCTGTGGACTTTGCCCTGAATACCAAGTCGCAGCCTGGGAGAAAGCCTTTGCTGGAGCAACCAGCATGGAGAATGATTAGTCTCTCTCCTTCCCTAGAGGCAGCTTTCTACGTGACCCCTTATCACCCCTATCGGGTACCAACTGACTGCTGGCAGTGTGCGAGGCATTGACCCAGGTCTCGTCCAAATACACTGGCTCGAACCCTTCCTTGCGCTTCTTCTTTATAACCCTGCGAAAATTATTTCTCAGGCGAACGATATCAGGGCGTTCACAGAGTACTGACCTATTCTCCCCCGAAATTTTCTTATAACGATACCCGAAAGAGTGTAAGAGTCGCCAGAGTGTGTACTTTGATACTCTGAGGTTGTGTTCTTGCTTCAAACGCTTTTTTAAAATTTTCAGCGACATGTATTTGTTTTCAGAATAGAGCTTGTTGATAGACTGCCTTACAAGGTTCTTTTGAAAGTTGTCCAAATGTTTTAATTTGTGTGATTTTGACCCGACCCCTACCTGCTTCGCATCACCCTAACAATGTTTGTGTTCCACAACATTTGTCAGTACCCTTGCTGATACTCCTAAAGCTTTTGCTGCCCGCTTAAGGAATTTATTAATGGCATAAAATGGTTTGCCCCTTTCGGCTTCAGCACGAAAAAAATCGTACACTTTAATCATCAACTGTTTCACGTCAGCATTCAACTTCATTTTTCAGTGTATATCCCGTGCACGACGAGATAGTGGCTGTTCCGTTTCTGCGGTTTCACCCCGCCGCGACAGATAACAACTTTTGCGTTTTCAATGATGATAGTTTCTTAAACAACTTTTTTGGTGGAGTCCGGAAAATTTTCAAATATAACAAAGCTGTTGGGTATTAGTAAATGATAAACGTGTGTACTATTTATATTTATGTGGCAATTTTGTACAATGATAAAATTTGCAATTCATCGGTCCGTTTCTGACTAAAACGGACTGTAAACATGACTTTTTTTTTGTTGATCTGTCTCTTGTTTAACTCTGCTCTCAGCAATATTCCAGCTGTATGTTTTGTGTAAATAGTCTGGAGTCTGTGTCAGACAATTCAGTGATTGACATCATAAGGCATATGGCATGACCACTTGAATTTAGATAATGTTTTCGAAGTGAGGTGAGGTGAAATTGGGTTTAACGTCGTGCTTGAGAATATTTCGCTCATATGACGACGTGCATGCGTGTGTATGTGTATGTGCGGCTGCTTCTAGTAGCCCAGACTGAAGCTGGTTTTATAGTGCTAGCCCACTGAGATACCATGCCGCAGTGAAGCATGAATACCCCACTCAGACACATTATACTGACTCCGAGCCCACCAGTCCTTGTTGTACCCATTACTTTCGAGCGCCAGGCAGGGACCAACAAGAACCATATTTTAACGTCTTTTGGTATGATGCGGTCGGGGATCGAACACGCGACCGGGCGGACGCTTTAACCATTACACCACGGAGGCGGTTAGATAATGTTTTTGAAAGGACACATCACATGCTGTATTCGTGAGAATAACACCATACAATACTGTAGGGCAGGACATGCCTACCCTTGTCGCGAACACCTGGTGTCACCACTTATTTTCAGTGATCCTTTCATATACTTTTCAGACCTATGTTTCCGTTTACACCAAACAAACGGAATTTGCTTCTAAAGATAATAAAGACTGGGTATTCTTTTGCACTGACGTTCTATATTCAATAAAATCCGTTGATAATAAGTGAGTGTGTTTAGTTTTACGACGCTTTTAACAATATTCCAACAATATCACCGCGGGGAACCAGAAATCGGCTTAACACATTGTAACCATGTGGGGAATCGAACCTGGGTCTAACGTTTCAACCACTGGGTTACCCCATTGCCCCAAATCCGTTGATTACTGCTGCCGTTATTGCTCCTAAACATTATACTGGCGCGCATGGTGCGTGTTGGTATTGCTTCAATTGGTCGAAATGTGCTGAAAATATAGATACGTGTAGATGAAATTCATCCTACACATTAGTTAATTTTAGGAGAATTACCCTTTAGAAAGTCAGATCGCTCTAAATTGCCAGTACAAGTATTGTAAGAATTGAAGGCCAATGAAGTTTGGATGAATAAGACAAAACTGTTGAAGAAGATGTCCTGTAATGAAATTAGTCCATTGTCAAAAGGACACCACCAAAGTAGGATATCGGATCTCCTACATAGCTGCCTGAAAGAACGGTGACTGTTAGTGGAATATCTCCACGGAACTGTTCAAACTGCACCCACACCTCCTCGTCCTTCTGCAGATGACTGACACATGTAGCGGAAACGGCGCCCTCACCAGAAGAAGACAATGCAGCCCAACCACTGCCGATTGTCTTTCCCGATTGTTTGATCGAAGTGGATGGAGTGTACCTTAGGGGACGAATACTCAACTGTATCCAGAACATGTAGGTCCCATTCACTGGTGCTGTGAACATCCCCGTTGTGGTGTTGTAGCCAGATCCAGTGTCGTAGATGATGCTGTCATATACAACGGGGTGTAGTGACGTTACGTTGTAGGAACTTGACACAAAAACCTGGAAAGCCACGGCGCTGGTTTCGGACACTGCGGTAAAGGAACACGTGGTGGAATATATAATGCAATGTTTTTGTACTGTATATGGAAGAATCCTTACACGTTTGCAAGTATCAACTCTCAAAGTTTAAACTGATAGTGATTTAACAATTGACTCTGGAGCAGACCTTTTTGTATAACCAGTCAAAATGTCACCTATACATTGGTGTACGACCAGCCAAAATGCCAAGTCACCCAGACATTGGAGTACGACCAGTCAAAATGACAAGTCGCCTTTCTAAGGAATTTTAAGTATTTTCAGACACTAATTATAGTTGAAAGGCTTATCAAAATTATATTAGCAATCTTTCCATACTAGTAAAGACTTGATTATCACACTGACCTGAGTTCAAATGTTAGGCTTATCAAAACTATGTCACGTTAGGTTTTCCATACTAGTTTAAAGACTTGATTATCACACTGACCTGATGTTCAAATGTTTCAGTTGTAAACCCTTTGTCATGAGGTCTGTCAGGGCGGTCTGAAGGTCTTTCTTTGTAGTTTGAAGATCGGTCTGCGTAAGTTGAAGGTCGACCTTTGTTGCCTGCAGTTCTGTGCGAGACGTCTGTAGTTCCTGTCTTGTAATATTCAGATCAGCCTGTGTGAGCTGGAGTCTTTCGTTCGTTGTCCCGAGATCAATCTGCAACCTATTTGTGTCCTTGTGAAGAGTGTCCACATTCTGTTCGAGGAGAGTGATGTGACTCAAGATACTTGTAAGGTCGGCAGTACCGTCGGATTTCGTTAACGGCAGACTCATTCCGGAGATGTAAGGTAGGAATATACACAAACGGAAAACTGCTTCAAACATCATGGCTTACTTGTACTAGATGAAAATTCAAGCGCAGTGCCAATGATTTTATACCTTATCTAACTGTCTGACACCACGTGACAGAGACGTCGATGAAGGAAGGACTAGGAAGGAAAAATTATTTAAATGAAAATGTATACGCCATATATATCTCTGTGATATAACTCAACAGCCAAATATGTGAACATATACCCTTGGTGTGTTTCAGTTTTGGCACTTTATACCTTTGATGTATCCTTACGCTTCTCTGCTTTTACGTAATAATGGAATATTTCTGGGATATGCACAAGACAATTTAACTATTTGTCGGGACACTCTTGTGCCTGTGACGTAGTTGAAGATAAGATTATTCCAAAAATATGCATGTGGCAGACTGTTGCTTCTCACGATAGGAGAATAAGTATGGTTCTTCGGTAAAGTAATAAAACAATGAAGAGTTGATGAGTGCCGAATATCACTTCACAAGTGATCTACAAAGTAAGTTTGTTTTTTTTCCGTAAATATATACTGCTATGTATTATGCTGCTGTTATCGCATAATCAATTTGGTTTGTGTGGATTTTCGTGTGAGTAAGCGAGTGAGGTTTACCGCCGCTTTTATCAATATTCCTTAATTACGGCAGGGGACAAATGGGCTTCACCCAATTACGCATGTGAGAGGAAAGATTCCTGTTAGTTGCTTGAGGTCTTTCACGTTTGCCACGTTGGTGAAGCCCATCAGCAAATGAATAGTGCTGCCAAACCTAAAAACAGGGGTAGGGTTCGTAACCAACGGACCCGTGAAGATCCGGACTAGAATTGTTCTTCAGTAACCCATGCTTGTCGTAAGAGGCGACTAACGGGATCGGGTTGTCAGGCTCGTTGACTTGCTTGACACATGTCATCGGTTCCCAGTTGCGTAGATCGATGCTCATGCTGTTGATCACTGGATTCTCGGTCCAGACGCGATTACTTACACACCGCCGCGATATAGCTGCAATATTGCTGAATGCAGCGTAAAACTAAACTCACTAACTTACTCACTCCGTTTCACTGATTGTATCAGACGTTGAATTTGACGTTGAGGTACTCATTCGTAGCCAACGAAAACAGACTTCAGTCTTGTCAAAAGGAAACAACCCTACACGGCGAATTGCAACACATTATAAACCTATTAGACTTTTAAGCCACCCGTGCCCTCAGTCATGTACATAAACGAAAATATCCTCTTTCCTCTTAAATCTCGATATCGATGTCATGTGTTGAGAGACTTGAAAACATATATTTAGATTAACATATTCGGACTGAATATGGAGATATTCTCGTGAGATATTCTTTATAACTGAACTGTAGAAACTAGTACAACACTCAAAACGGTTATAATGGTTATTGGTACATGTACGTTTACGTGTTGACAGTGCATGGAGTATTAACGTAGCAACATTCTGTAGAAGCTGGACATTTTCTGTTTGCATACGTATACAGAATGCGTAAATTGTGAGACAGGGTGTATACTTAGATGGGATATAATGTAACCAGTAACCCATGTTTATCGTAAGAGGCGACTAAAGGGATCGGGTGGTCAGGCTCGCTGGCTTGGTTGACACATGTCATCGGTTCCCAATTGCGCTTATCGATGCTCATGCTGTTGATCACTGGATTGTCTGGTCCAGGCTCGATTATTTACAGACCGCCGCCATATAGCAGGAATATTGTTGAGTGCAGCCTAAAACTAAACTCACTCACTCACTCACTCCAAACTGTGAAAATTAGGAACACCTCTAGCTACCAACAATGTCAACAAGAAGATAATGGAGTCCCTGCATCAATACATCTTCAAGACTAAACGAATTGATAAATTATTCTAGACCAATATCTGTACACAAATAATGAAATGTAACTGCAAGTTCAAGGTTCCTAAGCACGTACAATGCACATTTACCCTACCTCATGTAATAATGTATATCTCTGATTGATTCACGTGACCTTGAACAAATGATGGACGGAAAAAAGTCATGGAAAAAAAGTCATAGAAAAAAGAACTATTATAAAACATCATGTTCTCCAGTTATTTACTTTGTTTATACTATTTCACTTTCAAGTTAATTATTCCTTTAGTGTGACGCTGTAAGCAATTGGATCTTATCAAAACAGGAGAAATGAACAGATTATTATTTGTTTAGCTCTTAACGGATTGTGGGATTAAAAGTCACAAGTCACATGATTGTTTGTTTAACTAGCTTTGAGCTTGACGATATCACACCAGTTAATGAACTCATGGGATTATCAGTTAATGCTTTTTACTCAAATGGCTTCCTTCTAGCAGGGATACTCTACTCAAACCGGACCTTCTGACTATCCTCTGGTGGGTGATTATGTTCTGTCGCATTCCTTACAACATTGCCAACAGTTGTGACTCTTCCTCTGCATGTTGACTGAACACACTTCCAGTGTACACAAGACTGTCTCTCGACATTCTTAGTGTGAAGATAACCGTCAAATAGGACTTGGGGGCTACCTCTCCGTGACATAACAAACTCAACATTACGCAGACCAGCCATGTTAGTTTGTTGTCAACAGCTATATACTATACCGAACTATCTCAATTTACTTTCTCGTCTCACCTTCTCATTTCCCTCCACTTCTCAATAATACTGTGTATCTTTTATCATGGCACTAAAACAACTTAATTTCAACATTTAACAACCTACACATTATCCAATTTGTAAAATTGTTCTACTCACTAGAGGTTTATCTTTCATCATGAAACTAAAACAACTTTTAGCTAATCCCAAATTTCCTTGACACAAAACACTAAAGAACAGTTTAATCCCCCCTTGATCTCATCTGTATACTCTATGCACTAATCTCTCTTTGGGTCAGTTCATTATGCCAGACAGGTAAATGCCGTGTGTCGTTTTAACTAATTGTAGGGGTACTGGGCTGTAGGGGTTATGGCATGTAGGGGTACTGGGCTGTAGGGGTAGTGGGATGTAGGGGTTATGGGATACAACCTTACTGCAATCAGTTCACGTAGTCAACACATCATTACTGCAATCAGTTCATGTAGTCAACACATCATTACTGCAATCAGTTCACGTAGTCAACACATCATTACTGCAATCAGTTCATGTAGTCAACACATCATTACTGCAATCAGTTCACGTAGTTAACACATCATTACTGCAATCAGTTCATGTAGTCAACACATCATTACTGCAATCAGTTCACGTAGTCAACACATCATTACTGCAATCAGTTCATGTAGTCAACACATCATTACTGCAATCAGTTCATGTAGTCAACACACCGCATCAGTACTGCAATCAGTTCACGTAGTCAACACATCATTACTGCAATCAGTTCACGTAGTCAACACATCATTACTGCAATCAGTTCACGTAGTCAACAAGCAATGACTGTAAATTTATTGCATAACAGACATAAGAAAATATATATACAAATGTTACAAATACATGTGAAGACTAATAACATATTTAAAATATCTAATTTAATATTTTAATTCCATATGTATGGATGGGAATTATATAGCTGCTACGTGTATCGTCACCAGACATTTGGTACAGGTAGATGCTCAACTGACAAGGCTGACATCTGATATATATTTTTCTGCACACGTGTAAATACAAATTAAACCGGAACTGGTTGTTCAGGCGTATACATCCGGTGTCATAGAAGAATGTGAGTGAGTAAGTTAAGATTTCAAGTAACATGGGCAATATTTCAGCCATATCGTGATTAAATCAAACCATAGATTTATAGTCACTGAAAGTAAATTTTAAAAACCTGTCAACGAAGGACAGTAAAGCAACTAGATTATCACAGATATATATTTAAAACTAGTAATCAAATCTATTTTAACTATAAATGACAATACAATATAAAACAGGCTTTACATTGCCAATAACTGAAGGTAGATCACCATACTAGGGGCCATGGGGACTTAAAGTGCATGGACCCAAGCTGGGTTTACACCATCGGATGGTAGCAATTTTTGACAATCTAGCAATAAATTTAAAACAACAACCTATATATACTGCAGTTGAAAATAGTAGTACGTTTCAATTTACTATAATTATTTTAGGACTTTCGTACCCTCTCAGGAGGACAACAGTTTGACAGTACTTTAACCCCCTTCGAGGTTACAGCCACTAACAAAATCAGTTGTTGATTTACACTACTGA